GTGGATGCCTGAAATCACAGGTAGTATTGAACCCTATAGATACTATGTTTTTCCTAAACATACATACTTAGGATAAAGTTTAATTTAGAAATCAGGCTCAGTAAGACATTAACAATAGTAGCTAATAATTTTGAGCAACTATAACAATATACTGTAATTCAAGTTATGTGAATGTGGTCTCTCTCTCTCTGATAATGGGGTTGATAACCAAGTCTACAGCGTGGACACTATGGACAATGGGATGATTCCTGTGGGGGGCAGGACAGAATGGGGGACAAGAGATTTCATCATACTACTCAAGATTGGTGCAGTGTGCAATTTCAAACTCCTGAGTTGTTGCCGGTTTGGCTCAGTGGATAGGTAGAGCGTCGGCTTGAGGACCAGAGGGTACCGGGTTCGATTCCACGTACCTTGGTTGCAGGGCCCTCCCTGGCCTGGGCCCTCGTAGGGGTTCATGTAGGAGGCAACCAATCGATGTGTTTCTCTCACAACAATGTTTCTCTCTGTCTTTCCCTCTCTCTTCCACTCTCCCTAAACATCCATGGGAAAATATCCTTGGGTGAGGATTAACAGAAATAAACAAACAAATAAATAAAACTGTTGAATTGTTTATTTTTGGAATTTTTCCATTTAATAGTTTTGGATTGTGGTTGACCTCCGGTAACTGAAACCACAGAAAGTGAAGCCGCCGATAAGGAGGGACTACTGTATGGGTCAAGGTAACATAACCAGAGTTGCCCACGCCAACTACAGGCACCTGCTCATGGGACCTTCTGGGTTCAGGCGTGGGCTTCAGAGCTAGCTACCCGGTTTGAGCTGCTAACCGGAGAGCTTGGAGATGTCACTGCACTTCTGAGACTCGAGGTATTATAGTCTAAGCACAGTAACAGTATCTTTTTTTATGTGGTTGTTCTGAAGGTTATGTGAAATAATGTATGGATATTCGTTATAACAGTGTCAGCGGGCTGTAACATAGTATCGGCCATGATGATAATACATATGATAACAAACTGCTCATGCGTTTTGCTTTAGCAGTTATCTGTAGCCAAAGCTCCACTAACAGGGGTAAGACTTTTCTTTTGTTACACTCCATCTTTTTCCTGTTTTCTACTCTCCTCTCTTTTTAGTCCAACCCACCTAAAACAGCTGGCTCTTCCGTGTTTGGGGGCTTGTTGATGAAGTTGTTCTGTCCTCTCCACCTTGGCAGGGAGCAAAAGCCCCGAGTGAGTGCTGGGAGAGCCTCTTCAGACCGGCACTCCCCTGGACTCCCAGACCTTTATGCTCGCAGGAAATGTTTGTTATTGAATGAATGGAGCCAAGAAGGAAGGAGGGTCTGCTCCCAACACGGCCTTGGTACAGTGCCTGGCGGTGACAGCACATTCTGGCACAGAGCAGGAGCTCGGGAAGGATTGATGCGGTGAATGAATGAATGCATGCATGCATGCACACTGTGGGGTCAGGGCGTGCTGGTCTGCCTTCAGCGCACGGTGCCTCGCACACAGTAAGCGCTCACCATAAACATCGCTGGGCGAGGCTGATAAAACCCAGTGCAAGGGCCAGCGAGGCTTCACGGTGCGGGGGATCGGAGTCCGCCGCCTCCTCCCCGCGTGCGACCTCCGCGAGTGGCTTCATCTCTTTGTGCTTCAGTTTTCTCATCTGCAAAGCGCGGTCCACGTAGTGCGACCTCCACGAGACACTCCCCCG